TTATCAGTGGAGTCCAACGATTTGTCTTGTCTTGTCCATACCCTGTCCACAACACTGGCATGACACATTTGTTTTAGAGAAAGCTGTAAGAGGTTTGATGTGACTTTTCAGGGGATGTGACTGATGTTGAAAAGAAAGGATCCCCACCCCCTGAACATGACAATTAATTTTTAGCTTCTTTCTTCCTCAACCAGAGAATGGCCTTCTACCCGAAACAATCTCTTTACTGACTTTCACTGAATTCATCTTTTCTGTTAGCTCTGGCAAGCCTCCATGCTTTCTATGGCTTATTTGTTATTCCAAAGGCTGTTACTTGCTCCCTATGTACAATTTTATTGAAAGACACTGTTGTCTATTTATTCTCATTTTAAACATCTTGCCACTTAGCTTGATTAATTGTTTGTCCATAATCTGTACTCTGCAGTGATACACATGGTATCACACTCATTTTGCAGCTGAATGGTTTTGATGTAGGGTTATGTTGTAAATGCCCAAAGGAGAAATAAATTACATTGAGGATGATGAACTACAGCTGTTTGCGGCAATCCGCTGCTTTAGTCATTGTTTTAAAGTGCAGATCTGGAGGGACTGTCTGATTTCTATTCTGTGCAGTGACTGCAAGCCTCGTGAAAGGAAAGTCCTTAGAAGGTATCTGAATGAAAACAGGGTGGGGACTGCTGGGTCTAGGAAGCTGCTCCATGCGAGGGGTTGGCATAAATTCCGACCATGAAATTATCAGGTTCACTGCCTGCTGTAAGGCTGACAAATCAAGCAACAGGATTGAAATCCTGGACTTCAAAAATGTTGACTATGACAGGCTCAGGGCATTAGTAGAGGAGGCAATGTGGGACCAGGAAGGGAAGGTGAATGGGGTGCACGAAGAGTGGTCATTGCTCAAAGATATGGTCCTCGAAGCACAAAAGAAAACTGTTCTTGCAAAGAGGAAAGGTAGCAGAAGGGCTGGCAAACCCTCCTGGCTTAACAGGGACATTGCGATCCTCTGAAAAAGAAAAAAGCGGTGTACACACAGTGGAAGCTAGAGATGGTCCCCAAGGAGAACTATACAATAGTGGACAGCACTTGTAGGGAAATGATCAGGAAAGCTGAGGCAGTGACTGAGTTTAGGCTAGCCAACAAGAAGTCCTTCTTTAGGTATGCAGGCAGTAGAAGGAAAACAAATGGAAGTGTGGGACGCCTGCTTAACACCTCAAGACAGCTGGTAACCGACATCCAGGAAAAAACTGAACTCCTGAATGCCCACTTTGCTTGCGTATTTCACCAGACCAGGGGGATCTACATAATTAGGGATCTACATAATTGGTGGGGGCTGCCCCCCGATTTTGTGGGGAGATCACAGGTGCAGGCAGCCATTTCACAAGCAGGACACAATGCCCCCCCCATGCCTCTGATTGGCTGAGAGGCCCTGGTGGGCAGGCAGCCCCTCAGCCCCTGACTGGCTGCAGGGGCTGCCTGTCATGTGGTCCCACCCCTCTCTGCTGATTGGTGGAAAGGGATGGAGCCACATGACAGGTAGTCCCTGCAGCCAACTATCAGTGCAAGACGGGTGTAGCTTGCCTGTAGCTCTTCTAGATGGCAACCCTTCCCCCAACCCTGTTTTCCATCCTGCTGGACTGCTGCAGGATGCTGAGGACTGCTGCCTTCCTCTAAGGAGAGAGCAGTTTCTTTTCTGGAAGTTTTTTTCCCCCACGGATTTTGCAGGCATTGCTTGGATTTCATGGACAATACTGGATTTTGCAGAATCTGCGAAATCATGAATTTGGTAGGTCCCTTAAAATAATAGAATATAATAGAATAGGGCTGGAGGCAATCATTCAGGAACAGGTTCAGTACACTCCTCAGCCAGACAGGGAGATGGCTTCTTGGACTGGAACCTCTCCATCTGAATATCCTAACCATTAGAGCAGGGACAGGCAATTATTTCACCTGGAGGGCTGCTTAAAGACTTTTTGGTGAGCTGCTGAGGGCTGCAAGGGCAGCCCTGCCCCATGCCAGGTGCCCCACCCCGATTGCCATCTTGGGACCAGAAGTCCCACCCCCTGACTTCTGATGGTTGCCACTGGAAGCCCTTCCTCTTGCCCCTGGAAGTACTCCTTTTGGGAGGGGGTGTTGACATCTTGGAACATGAAAAAAAACCAAATTAACTATAACATGCTTTAGAAAAAAACATTTTTGTACTGATTTATCTGTGTTTGCATGGTGTATATAGAGGAGGCTGCATAAAGCCTTAAAATAAAGTCTTATTCTTGTATATTGTGTATATGAGGGGGGATGCGGGGTATGGTTGGGAGTGGGTGTAGGATGTGTGTGGGGGGTTGTGAAGGTGTGGGGGTGTGTGGGTGGATGTGGGGAGTTTGTAAGAGGGTGTGGGGTTTGTGGGTGGGTGTTGGGTGGTGTGGGTGTGGAAGCGCGTGGGATTTGTGCGGGGGGTAGGTGTGGACCCTCCTGCCACATGCCCCCTCTTGTGCACAGCCCCTGCCACTGATGGCAGCTGTCCCCCTGCCACACACACCCTCCCGTACACATCCCCCACCAATGGTGGCAACAGAAGCAGGAGGCAGAAGGCTCTTGGGGCACTCATGGCCATGGCAGGCAGAGCTCTCCAGCAGTGCATGGCTCCAGCTGAGTCCCGGGAGCTGCACATGGAGGTACAGATCCAGCCTGGCCCAGTCCACTGACATGCGCCTTCAGACCAGACTGGGTTGGGTCAATGCTAGCATGTGGGGCTTGCAGCACTGCTGGTGGGAGTTGCATGGCATCAGGCCAGGCCCAGCCAGCTCTGTGCCTCTACATGGGGCTTCCAGTACTCTAGCAGTGAGCTGCAAATGGTGGCAGGGAGCCCACCCGGCCTGATGACGCACAACTCTCTGTGGCTCCTGGTTGGAGTGCTGGAAGCCCCATGTGGAGACATGGAGCCGGCCTGGCCTGATGATGTGCAGCTCCCACCTGGAGTGCTGATCTCCACATGCTGGCATGGAGCCAGCCCAGTCTGGGTTGAAGGCATGTGGCAGTGGGCTGGGCTGGGCTGGGCCAGGCTGGCTCCATGCTGCCACATGCAGCTTATAGTTTCATAGTAGCTAGGGTCAGGAGGGACCTGAACACATCATGTAGCCTGACCCCCTACCACAGGCAGGAATGAATACTGGGTTCACAAGACCCCAGTCAGGTGATCATCTAACCTCTTTCTGAATTTGCCCAAGGTAGGGGCAAGGACCACCTCCCTAGGAAGTTGATTCCAGATTCTGGCCACCCTAACTGTAAAATATTGCCTTCTATTTAGCTCCTATTTTAGTGATTAAAATAACTCCCAGGACTTGGCTGGACCTGGACCTGCACACCGCTAGGGAGCTCTGCCTGCCATGGACATGAGTTCCCCATGGGCCAGCCACATACTGTTGCTGCTGGTGGGGGCTGTGCAACATGGTGAGATGCTGGGGGGGCCATACCCACCCACATACACCCCCCATGCCCAACCACAAACCCAGCACCACCCTCCCCCTGCAAGCAAGAGTTCCCCTTCCCACTCACCAGCTATCCAGTCGCATGCCATCATGCTCAGTGCCTCCACCTGGGATTCCCAGCTGGAGTGCTGGGAGCCCCATGCAGGTAGAAGCACTGAGACCTCCCAGTCTGATGGTGCACAGCCTCTGAAAGCCTGCCCCCCACCAGCTTTCAGAAGGGCAGCCATAGGCCAGTAATAATTGTTTTTTGGAGGGGCCTTGTGGGCTGTATAGAATTTTGCCTGCTCTTGCATTAGGGTCATGCTCCTTCAGGTTCTCTTTCCCTCTAGCCCACATTTTCCACTAGGGGGATGGAATGACCCAGATTAGGTCTGACATGGGCAGGCATTAGGACCTGGACACCTCCACTACTTTTCCCTGATGCCGAGATGTGGTTTGGCCCAGAGAGAACTTGTCGATCACTAAGACCCCAGGCATCTGACTGTGTCATGGAGCTCCACCTCCATTAAATGTTGCTGAAGCCACAGCTGTGCAGGCTGGATCCAAACACTTCACAGGCTGGATCTGGCCCATGGAGCAGAGGTTGCTAACCCCCGCTCTAGCATGATAAATCTTGCATTCTTTGCTGTGCAATGGCACAGCTTTAACAGCAGCAGTGGAAACTGCCTCCCCTGCAGCCATACAGCCTACAGCCTGATGATTACATACTCTCTTGAAAAATGGTTGATGTACATTTGAAACCCTCAGGCAGGGGTTTGGACTACATGAGCTCTGGAGGTCCCTTCCAGGCTTACTTCTCTATGACTCGATGAACCCAGCTCTCCCAGTTTCTGGATAACCTCTCTGACTAAATGGCAGAATGTGCCAATCCCTATCATCACTTGAAAATAAAAGGGTGAAACCTATTCATGGAAAAAATGAATATAGATGAACTCAGAAGAGGTTTTGGGCTCTGGGTCCTGAGTGGATAGAGATTCCTGGCTGAAGCTGATATAAAGCACATCTGATCTGGAGATGGACAGAATCTGGGACACACCATTTTATACAGCAGTAACTATCGCCTAGCTCTAGGCTCTGGTCACAAGCATGAAAGACTCTTGAGGAGAAACTCTGGTGGGGGGCTGCCCTTGCCTTCTCAAGTATAGACAGCGGGCAGGGAGTGGGCATCTGATGAAAAGATTGGGGCACAGCTGGCTGAGATCCTGTCCCTCCTGCCCTCACCTGGCACATACTAGATCAGTGGTCCTCAATCTTTGTAGCCTTAAGGCACCACTGCTTAACTCTTCTGATTTTAGATTCCAGCTCAGTGATTTTCAACCAGGGTGCCAGTAAATTCTGAAAAATCATGCTGTGGTGCCTTGAAGTTAAAAAGGTTGTGAACCATTGACCTATATGATAAAGCTCTGTCCTTCTTTACCTCTTTACACATTTTTAAAAATAATGCCTCAACAAACAACTAAAAAGTACAATCAATTTAACGAAGTATTGAAAATAAAGTTCAAAACCAGAAACTACAAAATTTCACAGTATAGTACTTGCTCATTTATTTTTAGTGAATAGATTAATACATTTTTTTCAAAAAAGATGGTTTAGTGTTATTAACTATAAAATATAGCCCATATTTGGTAAAAGAACTTGAAATGTTACATTTAATAGGTCTGTGAGGCCCCAGGAATGCTCTAAAGTAGCGGTGTTAAGCATACAGCCTGCAGACTAGATCCAGCCAGTTTCTCGTAGGCTGGACTACCCTCCTTCACAGGTCTGATTTGACTTACGGGCTTGTCGTTACGCTTGCCAAAGCCCCTGAAGCAGTGACGTTAATGCCCATGGCCCTTGGAACTACTGTTTCAATGCAGCTGTGGAAACCTGGGAGTTAATGCCACTCACTTCCTCCACCCCAATAGCCATTGCTGAAATGAGGGGTTTAGTCACACTAAGTGACTAAAATAGGTGACAGGAAAAACGGGGAGGGCAAACAGCAATGATGTTTAGTCTTTGGGTTTTGAAACCATGCTGAAACAGTGGGAAGAACGCCATTGCCATTCACAGGTTGTCCAGCCCATGGGAAGCCTGAAGGTCTGGATCTGGCCTGCAGAAAATCCCATTTAGGATCGAAACAGGTTTGACACCTCTGTTCTAAAGCAATCCTTCAAAACTTTAAACTCTGATCTTAGCATTATGCCGAGACTGAATCTGGTGTACAAGAAAGTCTTTTTATCCCTCCCCAGTAGGATAAAGGAGCTTTCACTTGGATATAAACATAGTCTACTCCTACTGGAAGGTTTCTTCACCTTGCCAAAAAGGGGTCTTAAATAAAAATGAGAATCAGGCCCATTGTTCTCTTTAGAAAGTCTAAAATTCATAATCCTTACTGAAGATACGTTTTTATTTCTAGTATGTGACATATTTCTATGTCGGAACATTTTATATTAAAAAAGAACTCTATTTTTAGGGTTTGAGACCTCTTTGAGCCTTTTCCAAAATCTCTTCTCTAATTTTGGGGTAACTTGGGCACACCTTCAAGACCTAATAAAAAAGAAAAGATTGTCAGTTAAAACTTAACTTATTCACCCTATGTTTCATGATGTAATTAACAGTTTTATGTAGAACTTACATCATGACAAACTTCTATTGCTTCCACATATCTCTTATCTTTTAGGTAATTGAAAGCAAGTTTAAAACCTGGGGAAAAAAAAGGAAACGAACATGCTGTAATTGGAACACAAGCCTATATGTCCACTGAAGTCAACAGATTGTATTAGACAGTGCTTCAGACAAAAAACTATAATTAACTAAAATTAAAATAGGATATACTAAAATTGAACAAAGGATAATGAACTTGTAAATTGTGCTGCAAAAATTTCTCTGTGGATGTTTAATTGGATTAATGTATGTGTTGTGTTTGGTTATTAAAAAACAAGGACACAAAAGAAAAATTGCTAATGGATAAAAAGAAATTACTTTAATATAATTCAGCTTGCCAGGATGTGAAAGACATTTTTCAAGATGAAACTACTTCTCCTAGGATGCAAAGGGGCAGTAAATCTATTGTAAAAAGTAATTGGGGATCCTCCTCTGCTCAGATGCTTGCAAAATGGCCCCTCTGTGACTAACCTCTCAGGATCAGATCTGGACTGGCAAATTGATATAGAAGAGGTTGGGTGAAATTTAGATTTTCAATTTGCAAAAAATGTTTCAGAAAATTCCACTCCAGGTGCCACAAAACCCACTCACAGCAACTACATTTTGGGCTGCCACAATGTAGTGTCTAAACATAGGTTTCTACACATGCACAGAAGTGCTCCAGTCTGAGGAAGTAGGCATTTAGCCACTACCTGCTCTCTGTTGTGACCCAAACGTAGGGGAGACACTCATCCTTTCGGCATGCTCCAAGCACGTATAGCAAACACAAACAGCAATGAGTTCAGTAGGAAGCTTAGTAGCCACAGTAACTTTCACTCAAAATAGAAAAAATGGTGCCTACCTATAACATAGGAGCCCAGTGGATAGAGCAGGAAACTAAGCTGTAGGTCCCAGAGTGAAGGGATTCAAACATATTTCCCAGCTCCACAGAGATTGCTCATACCACCAAGATATACAATAGTCTGAGTGGAGGCTTTCCCTATCCTTTCTACTGAAACTGGACCACTGAGCACTACCATGGGGATAGAAGAGCAGGCAGAGAGAGGCTGAGTTCGTAGCCTCATGGGTTCCTGCCAGATGTTAAATTAAATCATGCTATGGGATCTGAAGAGTTTTATCTGGATGCCAAAACGAGTGTGTGCTATGGCAGATGTTCAAGGTCTGGCATGGTAGAATGCATGATTTTGGGGATCTTGGATAACATTCCTCAGATCCTATTGTGCATCTACCAGTGCTCAGGGAACCTAACATCAGGGAACAGCTCCTTGGTGCTGGGCTGCTTGCATGCCCTTTAAATATGCTGCTACGTGGGCAGCCCTGGATCATGGAGTGGCCTCCAAGTCCTGGACTCTCTGTGTGCTGGCATGTTCAAAGGGCATGCATACAGTTGGGATGCACACATGACTTTTAAAGGAGAAGGCATGCAGGGAGCCTGGGTTTGGAGAGTGGCTCACCAGTCTCAGGGTCTCTGTGTGCCAGCACTTTAAATGGGTGCATGGGCAGCCCAGCATGGTGAAGCTGGTCTCTGATGAGAGGCTTCCCATGAGATGGCAAGTTTAAATGGTGCGGTAGCAGCCCAGCACCATGGAGTGGCCAGATGTTAAAACTGATTAAAAAGATTTAATCATGAATTCTCTTAGGTGGATCTGTAAATGTTATTGTGGGTTCATCATTTTTATTGTGGGATAACTTGCCTGAAGGTCTGGCATGTTTCAAAAAAGTTGCATGAAACTCACTTTTAACCCACAATACATGTAACATCTCGAGGGGGCCAGGGTTCTCCCTCAGCTCTGGGAAGATCTGGTTTCCAGTCCTTGTTCTTGGATGGTTTATACATTTTACATTAGTCAGTTATTTGAAAAAAAAACCCTGAGTAGGGCCTGGAACTCAGAAATCTTGTCCAAATGTAATCCATCTCTATACAGGACTCTTCTGAATTTAGTCTTCCCTATACATAAAAAGTACCATGTCCCTGGCCAAATGATAAGCTTTCACTTTTTGTCCAATATTATTATTAGCTGTCAGTAAACTCTTGGCAGTATTAAACTCTTAGCTGTCATTAAAACTCTTCTTCCTGTCATTTGTTATCCTTTTTTTAACCCCACCAACGTCATGTTGATTACATCAGTATAACTGAAGAAAGAAATTACCAGAGCCCAAGTATTTCTTGCATTTTTAGACCATGTAAAATAAAGTTGCAGGATATTTAATATAATCTTTTACAATGATTTAAGAATGAATATGCTGGCTAATTTTCAAGAAGGATTTAAAATACAATAAGTTTTTATCAACTCACCAATGGCAGGGTTTGCTTGATTACTATATTTCCAAGCTAATTTGTAATTAGCTGCAGCATCCTTATAGGCCTGTTCTTTCTCCATAATAAAACCCATGTATTCATAAGCTTTTGAACACGACTAAAATGGATTAAAAATTAATATATTTTACGTCATTTTAGCATTCTCTAGATTGTAAATCAGGATCCTAAATTATATTTTCTATTTAAATACATTAGTAAAACAATACAAAAATACTAGATTTTGTCTATTTTTTCCCTTAAAGGTGTAGCTTGATGCTTTACTGTCTAGCTCATAAATATGTACACTAAAACAGGATATTCAACTTGGCTAATATAACATTGATTTTACAACCTTCACTTTTACATTTCCTGATTTTTAGGATTTTAAATGTGAAACCATAACTAACTAGTTAGCTAATTAATTATAAACCACTTCTTGCATTTAGGGTCAAATTCTGCTCCAACCAAAATTAACTGTAAAATTCATGTTTTGGTCGCGTAGGAGTGATGTTGTAGCTGTGATGCTCCAGGAATTATGTGAGAAGCTAGGATTGTTGTGGCTGATATCTTTCACTGGACCAACTACATGGTTGGGATAGATTTAGACAAGCTTTCAAATGTGAAGCATTCTTCTTCAGGTCATATTTAAAAGATTGTCTAAGTCTATTCCAACCATGCAGTTGGTCCAATGAAAGATGTCACCCATGACAATCCTTGCCTTTTTGTCAAATTCACAAACTGAATGAGATGAGAGTCTTAATCATCATGACAATCACACTGATTTTATTCCATTAATCAATTTTACTGAAATCCAGGTTCCAAACTGTAGCTGGTATTCAGAGCTTCTACTTTTTGGGTTAACTATCAATGGCTCTTAATTAAACAAATTTTCCCAGGATTGCTTTGGCATTCATACTCCAAGCTAATCAAAACACATGTTTACCTTTCAAGATCTCCTTGTAAACATCTTTTCTTCTCACCTTGTTGTATTGTAAACAGCGTTTCAGTTGCTCCATTGCAAGATCATACTTTCCACTGTTGCAGTATATATCAGACAGTAAAATCCAACTTTTTTCCAACTCTTCTGCATCTGACACAGTCCAGTTAGCTTTAGCTAACCGTTTTAGTTGGGTTCTAGCCTTAGGAGTCTGCTTAAGGATCATGTAGGCTTGGGCCATTGCCAAAATGGCTTGAACACTTTCTCTCTAAGAATATATACATATTGTACAGATTAGAAAAATTAATAATCAAATAAAAATGCCAGTTTGAAGAACAAGCTCTTTCCATGATTTGGAAATATTATGGGTTTCACTGTCTTTTATAAGAGTTAGCAATACTGTCAATGGTTTATTAAAATCAATAGGCTTCTCAGTATTTCTGATTGCAGTATTTAATTTGCCATGAGAAGATCAGAGATGCCAATTTAACACATACCAACACTCCTGCTCTAATCTTAGAGTCCATCCACATAGTGCCAACTGTATCTGGATGAAAGCTCTATAACAAAGCTAAGTATATAATTGTGACAGGGGGCAAGCTTGGGGCTGAGTCTCAAATCGGCCCGCCCACCTCTCTATGTAGGGCAGTCTGCCCAGTCTCTCCTGCCACGACTTTGCTATTACAATAAACTGGTGATAAAAGCGGGAGGCTGTCCATTCTATGCCCTGATGCCAAGGGACGCTATCCACATCTCTGTACCTCCCCTATACCATGGCCCATTCCTTGCAGACAACATCCAAGATGTTATCATACTCCTGGCCACAAGCTGGACCAAACCTAGTCCTCCACCAGGTCTCACACACACACACACACACACGCACACACTCATACTGCCCCTCTCTCACAGGATCCTCTCACACTCCACCCCCTCTCACACAGTCTCTTGCTTGTTGCAGTATACTGTGCCCCCTCCACTCTGCCCTGCTGTCTCCTGGAGCAACCCTTCTGGCCATCAGGCTTATCTGAATCATGCCTTGGCTGGCGACATGAAGTCTCTTGAGCCTCTCCCATGACCCTCACCTGGGTAGTGCCAGCCAATTCACAAAATGGAGGATGAACTTCGCCTAGCCCCTCACCGGGCTCCTTATACACAACACCATGATCTTGTGGGCGGTTGGCCCGTAAGTTGCCCTTCTGGCCATCCTTCAGCTCTACTCAACACATGCCCTGGGGCTGCCCTTCCGACCATCCCTTCAGCCCTACTCAACCCTGAATTACACCCAGTTCTTCAGGTTGTGAAGACACATCTTACTCTGGGTGGGCCCACCAACACCCCTGCTTTCTCAGGGTCTCTCAACTGCCCCCTTCTCTAGGACTCCACAACTGCCCGCTCCCCAGGGCCTGTAGGGTCTTGTACTCCTGTGGGCTCCTGGCCGCACTCCTCCCTCTTAGTAACTCACCCAAAGGTGGGGGCTTGGGTTTAGGTGCCTCGACCCGCCTTACACAGGGTAGGTTCATGGTCCTTGTATTTAAGTGGGGCTGTCACACCACTGGCAGTCCCACCAGGCCTCCCTATCTTGGCAGGTTACAGTTTTAGATCAAGTCCAGGACCACTGAGGACTCCTCTGTCCCCATAGCCTCACCCTTATCCCCAAGGTGTTCCAGCAGCAGCTCAGCCTGATGTTGCCTCCTTGGCTGCTCAACACAGACTGTTGCTGCTCTGGCCTATGTTAAAAAATGGCTGCCCTTATTAGGCACCTGGCGGCTGCCTGCTCCTGCCCTTAAAGTGGCAGGCACCAAAGGTGCACTGCCAGAATAACATTATTAAGTCAACAGGCACAAACCAGGGGCAAGGGATTCATTCAGTAAGCTGCTAAGTGCTCTAGCTCCTGTTTGGCAAAGCATTTAAACATATGGATAACTTTAAACCTACATAATCACTTGGAAGGGTACTTATATACTTTCAGCTAAGCATGCAATGAAAAGCTTTGCTAGAACAGGAACACCCTTGAATTGCAGAGTGAAGCCCTTGTTCCCCAATATCCATTTGACTGGAATGAAAATTCCTTGAGTTAACCAGAACCTCAATAATGCAAACTTATTGTACACTTCACATGGTTAAGGATTTATTAATGAAAAATGATAAAATACTATAATTTAATCAGGGCATTTAAAAATATTCTTGATAAAAAAAACCAAACATGCATGGGGCTGTTAGCGTGCTACAACAGAACAGAATGCAAAATGCACTGAAGAATTTCTTACCTCATTTTGGGCCATTTCTATAAATGCACTAAGAGCTTTCTCCACATTACTTTTGTCTTTAGTGGTCATCAAACAGTAGTTCTGTAGCATCTTTAGTTGATTTTGATCATCTTGGGATCGAGGATAAAACTCCTTCAGTAGTTTCTCAGCTGTACACACCCCATGTTGCTGAGCTTCTTGTTTCTCTTTCAAGTTACTGATAACATTAAACCTCTGATATTTCAAAACGTGTTAAATACAGATGAATGGTAAAAGCAACTGCTATGCTCATCTTTCACTCTTAATCACACCAGAGCAAGGATGCATTTATAGTTGTACATACACAGAAGCAGATTTTATACATATTCAATATTATTAAATCACAAAACCACTGCCCCCATCCAGAACAGAGCTGAAGTACCTTAAATTGCCATTACTTGTATAGCTACTTTGTAACTAAGTGCAGGCTATTATGTTTTAGGCTTCTTAGTATAAGAACCACAACCATTAAATACTTCTCAACATTTTTAAAGACAGGCAGAGGGCAAGGCAGGTAGCACTTTAGAGACTAATTGGTTCAGGGAAGCATAAGTTTTTGTAAGTGACAGCCTACTTTGCAGACTAACATGGTTAACTACGTCTCTCTACTCATGGATGGCAACATTTTTAGACGGAAAACAAGTATGTTAAAAGTTTCTATTTTGTGCTGGTGAATATACTGAAGAGGGGGCAGCTGAACTGAAACCCTCTGTCTCTGTACAGAAATGACCAGACCTTGAAGGTTATTCTCAAATACTTCTTGGGAAATGAACTCGATAGTCCAAGACTTTTCTCTGTTACTAATCATTTCCAGAAGTGCTGGTCTGTTTTCTTACCTGTTCTCTTCATTAAGGCCTTCAAACACGTCTCCTCCTAATATCTCATTATCAGGATTTAGACAAATCTGAATCATACTGCTGATGGCTCTCTGGCCCCACTCACTGTCCTTTCGAGTTTTGTTGAAATACTTCAGTGCTTGATTGGGTTGTCCCATGTGCCTGTTTGAGTAGAATATATCATGTCTAGTTATAACATGTCTGTGAGACTGTCATCAATCTTAATGATAAAGGCATTTCCATATTTATTTACATAAAGTATTAATAAAATCTAATATTTCTCTTAAGTATATTATGGTTCCACACACATGAAAAATTAGCTAGGCAGATTACTAAATTAATGCAGTTACATTGTTTCTAGAACCTAAGCTAGCTCATTTAAGAGTATCCTATAAAGATATCTACAGAATAAGGTTTTCTGTTGCTTTTTTTTGTCTTTGAGCACTTTAAAGCAGGTGATACTAAATGAGCTGACCTGTGCATTGTATTGTGTGTTCTGAGAAAGCTGTTTATTAAGTTCCAATCAGGTCTACCTGTGCAATCCACTGCTGGCAATCAAGTTTCACAAGTAGCCCTGAATATGCAATTTGAACTCTGTATGGCTTCAGACATCAATTATGAGCAATTTAGGCCTGTGGATTTTTTACTATACATGAGAAGGAAAGAACCCCAGCCTGACTGTGACATCCCAGATGGAGCCTGTAATCTAAAATCTTTCCACTTGTCCTAATCTTATGTATGAATCACTGAAATATAGTATAGAAGTTTGCAGTCATGTTTTAAAGCAGGACCAAACTTTAGGGCTTAATTAAAGTAGGTAATCTTCTACCTTGATTTTCCTGATTGAAAAGGTGTTTTATAAAGAACCATGTTTTATACATTGCAAAACCTTGTGTGATAGAATTTAGTGTATTAAACCAAAAGGCCTCTGGCAAAAACCTGATCCTACTGAAATCACTGAGAGTTTTGCCAGTGACTTGAAAGGGGACAAACTTTCACTCCTTGTTGTTGGAGCTGTATACAACATCAAGTCTCTTGTAATAAACCTGCTGAAGTTGACATACAAGTCAACCAAATGTCTTCTATTTTACTCTGTTCTTTTATGATACCTATGACTGTACTGTATTCATTTGGCCTTTTTCGCTCTATGATCTAACACACTTCCTATTCCCACACAAAACCTATTTGCTTAAATGTGTACCGAATTCAATTTCCAAGCAAACCATTCTGCAAAGAGTAGTTCTCACGAACCAAAATGCTTGTTTCAGTTCACCAACTGAACCCTGGAAGTGGAAAAATAGGTAAAGGTGGAATGATACAATCCTGCTGGTCAGAGGATTCGTAATATTTACAAGTATTACTTTGTACAATTTACCAGCAGTAAAGTCCTTTGCAGTAGTTATAACCAGGCTCTAAAGGTATTCGAGTTGAATGTTTCCTTGCCATTTCAAAGAAGAATGTAGTTTTATCAAGCTTACCACTTCTTCTTAGCAAATCAATTAATCTTTCCATGACTGAGAAGTTATCTACAAATTACACAATACAACAAAGTAAACATTATCTTCATATTTAACTAATGCAGATTGTATCAATCTTTTTTAAGGTAAAACTTTGATTTAAAGTGTTTTGCTGCTGATAGTTATCAACATATGGTAATGCTGCTTGAAGAATTCAAAGCTGGGAAGAGGCTAAGCCTCCCAATGATGAAACAAAGGAACCTTGAATTCACCAACTTTTTCACATCTTTAAAAGTGCTAAAGCAGGGCTGTCCAACTTGCAGCATGCAGGGGGTTAATTCATGCCCCCCCAGGCTCCCACCCAGCCGTTGCTCTCTCCATCACTCTGTCTCTCTCCATCACTCCAGCTGCAGCAAAAGCTGGGGTCTCCAGGCAACTCTTCCCCGCTTTAGTTTCCACTTCTCGCTGTGCCCCAAAGGGTGGGGCAGCAGGGCACATCCTGCAGTGCTGGGGGAGCCGTGACATGATGCAGCAGAGGAGCCTGGGGTTAGTGAGCTGAGAGTGAGGTAGGGCACTAGCATGTGTAGTACAGTATGGGAAGGCATCTGCTTGCACAGTGCAGGGAAAGTAGGGAGGTCCCTACATGTGCTGTGCTGTTGTGCGGGGAGAGGGGAAAACCCAGGAAGCACGCAGTCAAGGGGACCCAATGGCTCAAGCTGATGTGACTTGCATGGCAAGTAACCCCCATTAGTGCGGTCCAAAAGGCGTGTGCGTCCAGCCACTTAGAATATGGACAGCCTTGTGCTAAACCATAGTCCCTATAATAACATTTCAGACTTATTCATCTTGTTCCTTTAAGTGTCATGGCATCACAAAAAATCTTCATACTATAGAGGATGGTACTTGGAAGCATCGTAGATTAAATTAGAAAATAAGGATATCACATAATTTCCTTAGTTATCCTTTTAAAGTGGGAAACTCCAGAAAAATAATTTGATTTAATAGTAGATACCTGGTGCTTTATCCAGAACCTTCTGGTAAAGGTATATAGCTTGTTCATACTTTTGTTTTCTAAACATAAGATCTGCCATCATCTAACAAAGAACAAAAGTGTTGCATGAAAAGTTGCAATGAGTTAAATTCCTTGCAATAACCAGAAATGTGAAGTTATTCTACTTTTCTTGAAACATGACAAACAGAAAAGGATATATTAAAAATAGTGGGGAATGGAAACTAAAAGTAAAAAATCTGAAATATGCAATAGAAAACCTTCTGCAACATCTTTGCTTAATTTACACAAGGGGTGCATCCAGACAAGCATACACGTGCGTTTCTTTGGAGACAAATAGCAATGGCACATATTTGTGCTGCTGTTAGTTGTCCCCAGGGGAATGCCCCTGCATGTGTGCTCTGGCACAGGGCAAATTATCCCAGATGGGATATGGGAGGCTGGGGCCAGCACCTGGTCTGGCCCCAGCAGCCTTACCTGAGGTCCTGGGTGGCTCTGTGGCTGCAGTGACAGCGACCTGGGAGTGCAGAGCTGGGCTGGCAACCAGAGTGTGACTCTGGCTGGCCAGGCTTTAGTTCTGGGTGGCACATGCTGCTGCCACATGCACTGTGCCATTTTCTTTCAGCATGCTTTGTTTTTGATACCAGGATTTCCCAGTATCTAAATTTGGCTCCGTGCTGCAAATATGCAGCGTGGAGAACCAGATCACATACACGGGGTGTGTTTTATGGTGCCTCAAAAGCCTTTGAGGTGCTGCACAGTGCAGGTACATGCTAATGTGGATGCACCCATGGAGTTATTCTGGAATACCTAATTCCAGAATAGTTGTTCTGGAATCACGCTATATAGGGGTGCAAAGATAGCTTTTTTCCCAAATTAACTTAATCAATTTAGGAAACAAATCAAGCTAAATCATAAAAGGGCCCAGTGATCCCAAAACAAGAGTGTTCATACGTAAAATTCCAAAGTAGCTAGTCTGCTACCTTATTCTGGAATAACTGTCATATCTACATGAACCTTTGGATGGACCCTTGAATATATATAAGAATACTCCAGCTTCTTGTTTTGGGGCTGAATGTTGTCATATTTCCTTAGGGGGCTCAATGTTTTCTGTGCCTATGGAACATGCCATGAAATTAAGTCCTTGTCAAAGATTTTAAAGCTTTCAAAAAGGTATGAGAATTTTCAGTTTAAATATTTCTCATCATTATGATTACAGTAACCAGAGCCTCAAAACATGAACCAACAGTAAACTTATACAGAACTGTCCTTCTGCAGTCAGTCTGCTGACAGACACAGCAGTTGAGAAGCATGAATAGCCCCATTCATTTAAATAGGTTAACTATAAAATGCAGATAAGATGTTTTCATTGTCAAGATTGCTAGCTATTCCAGATAAAAGTGACTACTGCACTGAATGCCACATCATCTGACTTAAATTGCATTTTATTAATATAGTATATGTCTAGACTGCAGGCCTTATTGGAAGGACTACAGATTCAAAGAACAGGCTATCAAGGTTGTGCAGCTAAAGAAATACGATAATGAATATGTAAGAGGAAGAACAGAAAGGATACAGGGTAGAAGAGGTTAAAAGATTTTTCTGTGTGCTTTGGCTGGTTTTGTTTTAGTAGGCTTGTTTCTTTAAATAACATTGAAGAGCCCTGAATTGGAAAATGGTTTCTTTGACTGTTACATATTGAAAGACATAATATAACAAGTAGAAACAAATACATTTAGCATATGGAAAACTTCCGTGCCATCTACTGGCTCAATCTTAGCTTTATGTTATAGGACACTGATAGGTAGTTTGATGTCACCAAATGATGGTTACACGCATAAACTGAAAAGGAATTCTTCAGCCCCACCATCTACTTTGTACTGCCTTTAACGACATCCTTCATGAAACTGACTATCCTGCTTCCTAGTGTTTTAAAGCAGCATTAACAGATCAGGATGGGCCTGTCAATTTCAAGGCTGCTGTTGAAGGCCCTCATGAGAAACAAGATGATGAGCCCACATGAACAGGTTGACCAGTTTGGCTGGAACAACCCTGGATTTTGGATGCTAGTCTTCGGCCTGTGAAAATTAAAATGAACATCCCAGGTGCAGGGCGGGGAGACTGAGTGGCATGAGCTAGGAAATACGAAGCCCCAGCAGACAACAAAACTGCCCTAAAATAGATTAGCTTGATTAGTGGAATGACCATTAAAAAGGTGAGATGATTGTTAACACCTGTGAAGTAAAGAACGAATGGATCATTAACAGGCCACTGACTTCCTTAGGTGCCTGCACAGTAATGTCAGAGCTGCACCACCCCACCCCCATCTTTGCCTGCAGCTGTGTCCCATATGGTTACCCTATCCAAGCTGTTCCTGTAGTTAGTAAGCATTGTTTACCATGAGCTGTGGTAAGTGCATACACTGGATGACTGCACAGCCTTTTACCTGTCCCTAGGCTATGCACTTAAATGGAGCACCCTATACAGAATTCATTTCTGGGGTATATACATTTGATTTTCCTCTTTCCCCCTATTTTTCCCTAGAATCCTTCCTGTATAACATGTTTTTAGTAATCTCAACCTAGCTTACCCTCTATTTCAACATAGATGCTTGGGCAGCAAGCATAATATGCCAGTATAAGAGTAACAGCCTTTAGAAGGTTCTGAAAAAACGTCAAAACAATTCTCTGATTGTCAGACTGTCATCTATTATATACTACCCATTTATACCATTGCTGCAATTTCATTGCTGTTGTCTTCTTGAAGAAGCAGAGCACACTGATGTTCACATGACTCGATGTCTCCATATAGCAAATAAAGATGAGCCAACTGCACTATAACCTGGGAATGAGAGGAAGAATAATTAGTAATGAATAATTTTAATGATTATTGCAATTGCTACAAAGAGTCATCTTTGTTTTCTCATTGATTTAGAATTCTAATCACAGAGGTTAGATCCAGCTAAGATCTATTCAGTCAAAATTACTCCAATGCAATTCTGATTCACTTTTTAGGTTAGATATTAGGAAGAACTACTTTACTGTAAGGGTGGCCAGAAATCTTCAAGAGGAGACTGGATAGGCACTTGGCTGGGGTCTTATGACCCCTGCCACCCCCAGTGCTCCTTCCTGCCCATGGCAGGGGGTTGGACTAGATGATCTGTCTAGGTTCCTTCCGACTCATTGATTCTATGATTCTGTGAAGTTACATTGAAGATAAATTTGTCCTGTTATGAAACCTACTCCATCCTCCTGCCAATGAAAATTATTCTCTACAATAGGTTCTTCAATGCTTTGTCTAGTCTAGTTTTAGTAAACCCAGTGATGAGGATGGAATTATTGCTCTTGAAAACAAACAGGCCCAAGTGATTTAGTTTCCAATTAGAGAACAGTCTCCCTACATGGTACTTGAATTTTGTACATCAGAATAACATATTGCAGAAAAATATACCTATGGCAGTAGTGCTCTCATTTAAATGGAAAGTTCAGATGTTCATCAGAAACTCAGACTTGTAACATACTGATTGCTACTGGCTCTCAGTGGAGCCAACTGAAGCTGAACGTACGTAATATTTTAAAGCTGTATTCACCATGGGGCCTTCATGAAAAAGGAAAGTAAGAATCTGATTTGGGAAAATCCTGTTGAATTCAATGCAAGTTTTGCTTGTGCCAAAGGAATTCCTCAGCAGCAGCCACCAGTCATTTGAATGCCACTTTGTATTACCAAGCAGACCTGAGAATCCAGCCAACCAAACATAAAAAGGAGTTTTCTGGGCTCAGTCTTTACTGTTTCAGCACTTGAAATCAGGATTGGTGTTTCATTTATTCTATTCCATGAAATTGTCTTTCTGCTGATTCTGCTTTTTTATGTGTGTTCATGAATTCTTGGGTCAGCTTGTGGAGGCACTTAAGGCAAGGGATGTAGCTGTCATGGGTGATCTAAATTACCTGGACATCTGCTGGGAGCAGCAGTCAGCCAGGTCTGACCGCTCATGAAGGTTCCTTACCGAGATACAGGATCTCCACTTAACCCAGGAGGTGCACAGTCCCACCAGGGGAAATGCCCTACTGGACCTGGTCCTGGCCACAGGCGATGACCTGGTGAGGGGACTCCATGTTCTTGACCACCTGGGCGACAGTGATCATCACCTGCTGGAATTCACCATCCAGAGCAGGGTGTCAAGGGCCTGCAGCAAGGCAGTAGCCCATGACTTTAAGAGGGCCAACTTGAGGACATCAGTAGGAGAGGCGCTAGGGTCCTGGAAAGTAGGGGAACTGGGTGCCCAAGATGAGTGGTCGTTCCTTAAGGAGACAATACTCAGAGCCCAAGGGGTGACAATCCCAATGAGAATCAAAGGAGGCAAGAGTGCTCAAAAGCCCCCCTGGCTCACCAACAGCATTTGGGAATGCCTGATTGCCAAAAAGGAGGTAATTTAGTGGAAGGGAAGGGCTATCACCAAAGAGGAGTATACCTCCATCGCTTGGGTGTGTAGTGGGGCTGTTAGAAAAGCTAAGGCAGATATGGAACTAGGGCTAGCATCAAGGATCAAGGACAACAAAAAGTCCTTTTTTAAATACATAGGGAGTATGAAGAAGGCACTGGGTAATTTGGGGCCCCTGCAGGATACGCTAGGTAATCTGGTGGTTGCACCAGAGGAAAAAGCAGACCTTTTTAACAAATTCTTTGCCTCCAATTTTTTGTGCAGGGACCAGGACTCCCCCCAGTGAGATTCAGGACGGACTCAGGAGAGACTCCGCCAGGCCTAGGGACAGGGAGAACTGAGTTAGAGAACTTTTGGAGGGGCTAGACATGTTCAGATCAGCAAGTCCAGATGCTCGCCACCCCAGGGTGTTGAGGGAATTGGCAGGGGTTATCGTGGGGCCCCTGCCACAGCTTTACGAGCACTTGTCATGCTCTGGCTAGGTGCCAGATGAATGGAAGAGGGCCAGTGTGGTCCCCATCTTCAAAAAAGGAAGGAGGGAGGACCCAGGCAACTATAGGCTCATTAGTTTTATTTCGATCCTGGGGAAGCTCTTTGAGATGATTATCAAGGAGCACATCTGTGAAGGACCAGCAGTGGGGATGATGCTCAGGGGCAACCAGCATGGTTTCATTAAGGGCAGGTCCTGTCAGACCAACCTGATTGCCTTCCACGATCAGGTCACAAAATCACTGGATGCAGGTGTCGCGGTGGATGTAGTCTTTCTGGACTTCAGGAGAGCCTTTGAGACTGTCTCCCACCCCATTTTCATTAAAAAGCTAGATGACTGTGGCACTGATACCTACACAGTCAGATGGGCTGCAAATTGGCTGAGGGCTGCACTCAGAGAGTGGTGGTGGACAGGTCATAGAATCATAGAAGTAGGGTCGGAAGGGACCTTATAGATCTTCAAGTCCGACCCCCTGCCAGGTCAGGAGAAAAAAAACTGGGCTCATATGATCCCAGCTAGGTAGGCATCAAGCCTCCTCTTACAGACCCCCAGGGTAGGAGCCAGCACCACTTCCCTTGGAACTTGGTTCCAGATCCTAGCCGCCCTAACTGTGAAGTAGTTCTTGCAGATGTCTAATCTAAACCTACTCTCCAACAACTTGTGGCCGTTATTCCTTGTTATGCCAGGGGGTGCTAGGGGAAACAAGGTCTCTCCCAAGCCCTTCTGGTCCCCCCTAGTGAGTGTATAGACGGTCACCAGGTCCCCCCTCAGCCTTCTCTTGTGAAGGCTGAACAGGTTCAGGTCCTGCAGTCTCTCATTGTAGGGTCTGCCCTGTTGTCCCCGGATCATGCGGGTGGCCTCCTCCGGACCCTCTCCATGTTGTCCACATCTCTCCTGAAGTGGGGTGCACAGAACTGGACACAGTACTCCAGCAGTGGCCTGACCAGTGTTGCATAGAGGGGGAGGATCACCTCCTTGGCCCTGCTAGAGATGCACCTGTGGATGCACGACAAGGTGCGGTTACCCCTTC